GGGGGGGGGGGGGGGGGGGGGGGGGGGGGGGGGGGGGGGGGGGGGTACCATTTCTCTGCCTCTTTCGGTGCCAAAATCTAGCGTCAGGAAAAAAATAACCGAAAGAGTGTTCTCAAGATCGTTTCCACGAGTGGATAGCAGTGATAGCTATCTATTTCAGTTTTCCATGGTCGCAACAGATCTAAACACCGAAGGAAGTGTTGCAGATAACCATCCTTCCTTGCCGTTGTTGGCACCCGCCCCCCCGCCCGAACCTCGGGCATTGGAAGCGTTCAATCAGGTGGGGTGGGTGCGTTATTTCAATCCTTTATCGGGAAAACATGGAAGAACGCTAACAAAAGGGATCCGTGCGTAAGAAAGTTGACCTGCACGCCGGCGTGTGCATGTACAGGCAGCAGTACGCATTGAAACATCGATGGGCGCTGAACATGCAGCAGCCGATACATCATCACCAGCACTTTTCGTTTTGCGGCATCACTAGCATTCATGGTTCTTTAACAACCCGAGCCGGTCGCCCTGGTGGTCTAGTTGGTAACCTCGAAACCTTCTAGAGGTCAGGTCAGGGGTCCGAATCCCGGCGTAAGCGAACTTTTCTTGCAAAGTGAGTTTTTCTCTGGCTTCCGCTCCTGGCCCAGTGGATAGCGCTAGTTCGTGTGTACACAGAGGGAAGAGAGTGCTGAACCCTTCTCGCGTTAAAAATCGAAGGCAAAGTACCGCAGGAGGGGAGGGTAAAGAGGGGCTCTTCTGTGTGACCACGGGTTGGAGTAAACGGCACTAGTGCCGTGAGCGCTAATTTGAAGTGCAGACCAAAAAAAAAAAAACGGCAGCAACATTTCTCAGAGAAATTCGTTGGGTGCATGTAAACAATAAAACGAAATATTATACAGGCTGCACGCTGCTATGGAAATTGTGGAAAGACAGAGGGTGCGGTAGCTTCCGTTGGTTGACGCTTGGACTCATTGCCCATGCATCTAGGACTCTTTCCTACTTCAAGTATTGGATACGGGTGAAGAAATTAATAAATACAAGCATGCCCTGGACCGGAAGGGACATCACCAGACAGGGGCGATGGGACCAAAGGGCTACTTATTTGTTGTTCTTCAAGCCGGGGTCTCAAACATTCTTGCTTGACCCGGGGTGGTTCGTCCAGAATTAACCGCAAGGCGAAAGGTCCGCCGACGAGAACAAACGTACACGGGATGCACAGAAAAAAAATGATGTTGTTCTTGTGTATGGATACGGTAACCGGGATCTTACTTGGTGTTGTGGCTACATGGGGAAAGACGTGACGCACGCATAGATGTAAGGGACCGACTCTCATGAAATTACATTGTAACCCATGTGTGAAGCGGGCTGCCTCCACTGCCTCCATTAGTTGTGGTGACATGCATATTTGCCACATGGCACACCGCAACGACGACAAAGATCTTAATCTTTTACTACAGCAACAACAACGCTACTCGTGTACCGCCGTCTGCCGCACTAAAACTTCGGGACGCTGTTGCAGCTGTCGACACTAGTCCAATGACGGCAAAACATCGGGACGTTGCTACCCGCACCGCCGAATACCACCTGTTTTAGAGCCTTGGAGAAGGGTCAAGGTTCGACAAAGTCCGGCCTTCCTCTGCAACAAGCATGAGGCTGTCTCGTAATTCTTCAGAGTTGCCTTGTTGGTTTCATGGCGACGTCCACCGTCATGACTGCTCTGTGACGCAACATAGTTTATTCTATGGCCCGTTTTTTGTTTTGTTTTCACGGCGATGGAGGGGCTGTTATCCTTGTCCCAACGAGTCCAGGGGATGGACTAGCAACGACGAGGTCATATTGACATGAGCTTCCTGTGTTTCTAACGCTTTTGCCGAGCAGCAAACTATGGCGTATGTCCCGTGAGTAATAGGCTCAACTTCAGACAGCAGTTTGCTGGCCAACTTGCTTGAGTTCAAAAAACACAAGACTTCAGGATTTCACGTACGGTATGTTACGGTTTGTACAGGGAGAAGTTCGACTACCAAGAGAGGGACCCGAGGCACAGCGAACCACTGTCTTGTCTCCCGTCTGTGCCCTACCTCTGCTGGTGCTACATAATAATTGCCGCTCAGATGCCCTAGGTAGGGAGCAAAATGCACCTACAAGCTTCAGCCCCCAGGTATTGCTCCAACAAGGGAGCAGAGCCCAGCAGGCACACAACCATTGTGTAGGTACTCAAGCTTCGTACCACACTACTGCTGTGCTCTGCTGCTGCTGGCGCACTCACATCCCAGTTGACCCCTGGTCCTGGCCTCCACCAAGCGTAAGAAGGCAGGAGAAGCAGCAGCAGCTCTCCTAGCCGCCAGACGCAGCATCGCAGCATTCTTCCCCCCTCTCTGTCGCCCTCCTGTCCCGTGTGTGTGCACTGCTGTACCACAGAGGTGAAGACGGTGGGGGGGGGGTCAGAAAAATTTTTTAAATCATCAGCCCTTTACGTAATACTCCGCCGCTCCGCTAACCCGCCCCCTATGGCAAAGATGAACTTCATACATTCCATCACACGCACCACTTCCCACCTCGTCGTCGCCGAACACTTACCCCGTGGGTGGTGGGGTACATTCGCACACACAGCAAGCAGCACAGGAGGACGAGGGGAACAACAACCCAACCGCCTTCCCTTCTTTGTGTGGAGTTACTCCGCCATCTTCAAAGATCTTCCACGAAAATTCCGAATCGCGTTCAAGATCCGAAAAAACTCCTGCTGTAGACTACAGCAGTACATCACCATCACCCACATTTGTCATTTCGGTCGCGAGCACCGCCCCTCACTCTCCCGCGCGCGAGAGCGAGAGTTTCTAGGAGCCGTGATCTTCCTTGTTGATGAAGAACCTGGTGCGGCTTGTTGACAGCTCGGGGCAGCAGCCGCAACAGCCGCAGCAGCAGCAGCAGCAGCACCGGAGCTCTGAGCTCCCGCATCAAAGCTGCAGCGAAGGGCAGGAGCCGACCACCAGGCGGCGTGCGTACTCCAGCACTGGCGACAGAGACTCGTGCTCCAGCGACGAAAACGCCTCCAGAACTCATACTACAGAACCTTTTTTTTGAAAGCGAGAGACGTGGGACGCTTCCTCTGACCGCCGTTGCTGCGTACCCAACGGAGCCGACAAACCTCCGCATGAGCGAAAGCATGGAGTCTTATACTGCTGCTGCCGTTACGAACGAGTCACATCATGTTGATGTGGGTGAGGACGTGGAGGGCGGGCTGGGCGGGCTGGGAGAAGTTGGCCCAGAAGTTGGTTCACCGTCACCTCTTTGTGGGTCTGGGTCTGGAGGAGGTGAAGTTGGCGCCGCTAGCTCGCCCGCGCCCGCGTCTGCTGCAGATGGGCCAGCTGCAAGTCCAAGGGGTGCGATCCTGCCGACGTCTCCAGGTACTTACAGGCGTGCCATCACTGCGTTCATCGACGTACATTTCCAACTTCCCATCTGTATCGGCACCAATACCGCCAGCGAAACAAGTCAAAGTCAAAGTTGTTGTTTGTTTGTTGTTTGTTCGTTGTTGTTGTTGTTGCTCTTGCTCACAAGATCGCTTATTTGTCCAAGTACTTTGGCCCCTCTAAACCAAGCTTCGTTGAAGCACACAACATTATCAACCTTGCTCATGCTTCTACTTGCATTTGTTTGTCGTGTCCAGAGGACCTGGCGACCCTTCAAGGGGAGGTAGAAAACCTCCTTTTCCCCAACCTCGAACAGGGGAGCCAACAACAGTTTGGGGAGGCAACAATCGAGAACGCCGTGGGGATGCTGAAGGCGAAGATTGGGCGCGGCTACCCGCTTCAAAGACACAACAAAACAAAGGTGAGGTTTGGACCCTCATGTTTGCTAAGGTTACCCTTCACTGGCGTGAAGAGTGGACTTGCTGCGTTGTTGATACTGTCGGCTGCACGTGGACTCGTCTTGTAGGGTCGTTCGCCATGAGACCAGATGCACAGCCTGAAGGATTGAAACATTGAACGTTCGTCGTGAACGTTCGGCAAGGGCTGACGTCCAATGTGGTTTTTCTGCACCCCCTTCAGTTGTACACCAGAAAGCAGGAGGCGGAGCACGGCAGGCGCAATAGATGGAACTACGTGGAAATCGTCTGTCCTCAGGCGGGGTCTCCGCGAGCACGAGAACGTGTCGCGAATGCGAGCGCTCGCCGCAATACTAGCTCAGAAAAGGTGCGTCAGGATTGAGTATTGGTAACGCTCCCCTGTTGAATGTTAGAAAAAGGCAGGAAAATCACGACAAAGAATATCTCCCTGTTGTATCTCGTGTCGGGGAACAAGAGGAGAGGTCATCTCCCTTTCCACGCGGACACATTTTTTTCTGCAGCACCTGCACGAAACCTCCGCTTCCCACGCTGCGCCCCCCTGTGTACGATACGGTGTGCAAATTCCAGATTGGATGCGCTTTCGAGGTCGGATTGTGGTGGGCGGCCAACAGCCCTGCGCCGATCGTTGCGAAGGTGAGGTCATTTGCCATCAGTAGAAGCGGGTAGAAGCGGGTAACTGACGACGACGCAGCAGTAGTCTCGCCATGAATACGGTGAATGGACGAGCTCGATGGGAGCCACAGCCTACAGGGATCCGCGTCCGTACACAAGGGCTGGTGTAAAAATTCTGTGCGCCAGTAGACTGTTTCTTAGTAGTACGTGGAGGTAGACTCGTGAGAAGAAAGCCTATCGGGTTTCCAGTGTCAGCCTAGTTCGACGGTGGTTAAGCCTAAACAACCCTAAACCCTAACCCTAACCCTAACCCTAACCCTCACCCCAACCCAACGCTTGGTTGCTGGGCGTTGGTTAAGTGCTAGGTCGCTGCAAGTGGTAAACCTAGACTGCTGGCGCACAGAATTTTTACACCAGCCCTGGTGTACGGACGCGGGAGCCAGCCTACAGCGCTACCTTCGCAGCCACCCGATATTGCCTGGGGGGTGACCGAATGCCACGCCCACTTATGTAACCACAGAATCGCAAGCTTGCTCTTGCCACTATTTTGCTTCTCTACCGCTGCTTCTCTTCCGCTGCTCAGGGAAAACTTTGCCTCACGCACCACACGAAGACTTCCGGCGGGAAGGAGCACGAGCGCCCGCGAGCTATCGAGAACGAGATGAGCGTAGCGGAGATTGAGGCGAAAAGAGATTTTCTCCGTGAGCTGCACGCTTCTCGCGTCAAGACGACGGAGATCCACAAGACTCTCGAGCGCGTCGGCAAGAGGCTAGGACAAGCAGGAAAGCAAAAGGTGAGTGGCTGAGGCCGTTGTTCGTGGAGGTCATTTGTCAACGCGAGCGAGGTTGGTCGTCCAAACGAGTACACCACAGGAAACATCTCGCTTGTGGCAGTGCCCTCGCAGCCAATCATGTTTCTGTTGCATGGTGGCGACCGTACTTTTGGAGCTTTGTTTTGCTCGTTCGGCTCATGTATCTCGAAGTTGATGTTCCCGAAGTGTTCACACCATGTTCACACCGTAACGAAGCCGCTTTCGGGTGGTGCATCTGTGGATTCACGGCACCTTCAGGTGCGGACTATGATGGCCCAGTTCGATGCCGAACGGCAGGCGGAGAACGGGGCGTTTAACGACGCCCAGCTGCTCGTTGGCCATCTCCAGAACACTGAGGCCTTCCTAAGGTTCAAGCACGAGGATGGCCGCATGACCTGCATCGCATGGGCGTCTCAGGACCAGAAGGTCTTGGCGATGCGATACCACAAGATCATCATACAGGACAACACGTTCAACACCAACGTGTAAGTGCAGTGTTGAGCACGCAGGAACGTCGTGAATTGCTTCTCTGGTGATGGTTGGCGATACTTCTCTGGTGATAATGGGCGATATGTTTTGACTTCGTTTACTTCGGTTAGCGGCGGTCACCACCACTGTCATACCGGGATGGATTCAGTGAGCAAATGTATCAAACATAGGCGCTCAAGTCACCCATCGAAACCCCCACACCACCCCCACGCCTGCCCCTGGAGAACTCAGTTTGGCCGGCAGTATACACCCATGGAGTGAAGTGTCGCTTGATGGTTTCCCCACGATGTCATAGCGCACCATCGTACATCCGTTTGCCGTGCTTCTATGGTGCCATCTGCCAACCAGGTACAAGTTCTTCCTGGCACTCATCGTCGTCGTGGACAAGGAGAATCACACCCAGATAGCCATGCAAGCCCTGCTTGCGAACGAGCGATCAGAATCCTTCGAGTTCATCTTCGAGTCGTTCAAGGAGCTCTGTGGCGGAGGAAGCCCAGGGGTAAGACGATGACCCAGACCCCTTCATCGGAAACGTAGCGATGCCACGGGAGAATCGTATACGACTCCCCCCAAACAAATGGTGGCGCTGACACAACGAGATGAGACGGCGATGGATGCTCAAGTGCATGTCCGCGCCACGCGTTCAACTGACCTCCTTCTGTTGTGGTTGCTCGCACGTTCAATCAGGTGGTCTTCACTGACTGCGACTCTGCCGCGATGTTGGCGATCGCGAACGTGTATCCGTCGGCCCTGAACAAGTTGTGCATCTGGCACACCATGGAGAACATCAGGGATCATGGACGGGGTCTTGCCGAGGGTGTCCTTCCGGCCGTACTCGGCAAGTTCAAGGCAGCAGCGTACGCTCAAACACAGGAGGTGAGATACACTCGACCCTGTTTCGTTTACTTCTAAAGATGGGATATTGTTTTAGGTGCACCGGTGAAAGTTAACCGCGACAATGGTCGTCTTACCTAGTTAGTGAGTAGACGAAGGAAGCGGTCCGCTCTCGTTTTTTCATTTCATTGAGCGTTGACGTAAACGTGTACCCGCCCCCCCCCCCTTCATCTATGGTCTTCGCTCGCTTCACTTTGTCTTGCTCCCGCAGTATTTCCTACAGCTTCGAGGGGAGATCCTGGACATGTTGCCCCCGGAGAGCCACATGTACAAGTACATGGCCGTCAACATCTTTGGCGCAGAGTAAGCACCGTCTGGCATGATGGCAGCCGCTACGCTACGGAGAGTTGACGTTTTCCTCCGTGAGACCTCGGTCGGTTGATCATGTCATCCTCTTTCCGCCTCTCACACTCCCTTCGGCCCTCAACGTGCCTTGAACAGGCGGGCCGGCAAGTGGGCTTCGTATGTTCACCCTGGGCTGCACACGCTCGGCATTGCCTCCACGCAGCGAGTGGAGTCGATGAATGCGGCGGTAAAGGCAGTGGTGACGAGGAAGGGCAGTATGATGGACCTCAACGATGGGATCATGGCCAAGGTTCAGGACGGCATGGCGAAGACCGAAAGGTGCGACTCCGACACGACTCCGACAGTATTGTGGCGCGTTTCTGCGCCACTGTCTGAGGTACCACGTGACCGAAATGCCTCGACCTGTTGACGTCAACTTGTGTGGCGTCCATGTCTTTTGGTGAA